CCACTCCTGGGAATGAATGGCTGGGCAGAAGGCCCCTTCCTTCAAGATGAGCTCCTGCACACAGCTCTAATCCTGAAGCTGGCTGTGCCCCGTAGTTTTCTCCCTCCTTGGACACAGGTCAGCCCCCTGCCCGCTCACAGGAATCCAGAGCCCATTCCCACTGGGACCGTTCTCCCAGCTTAGCAGACTGGGCTGCCACCTCCAGGAAGGCCACCCACTGCTGTCAAGCCCAGGGTTTCCAGGCTCCAGCCCAACCACCCAGTACTCCTTAATGAGCTACTCTGGGGTGAGGGTTTATTAGTGATCTCAGTCGATAGTGTTCTCTTGGGGAAAATCCACTGATTTCAGGTTGCAAGTGCAGCTTTGAATGTAAGACTAACAAGAAAGGTGCACTACTCAATGGAGATTATTATTATTATATGCTCTTATAGAAGAAGGTTTTCACCACAAAGCAGTCTGGGGGTTGGGAGGGTTAATGGTCTCTGCGAACCACCCAAACTAGGGCACTTGCTAATGCTCCCCGAAGACCACCAGGCATACAGTGAGAGCTGATGGGAGGCCCAATGACCACCTGGAACAGCCACCCCACCCAGATCAGCCCCAGACAAGTCAGGCTAGCACAGCGCCAGGGTAGCAGCGAAGATAAAATGAGAGATCCAAAGATCACAGCAGCACACGGCACTAAGGACAGCGAGGTTAGAAGAGCAGCTAAAAATCTGTGACTAGCAATGTCCAGCAGGTCAGCGGCTTCAGCGGTTAACTGTGATTTCCACGTGCCTTTGACTGCAGTGCTCAGAGTGGAGGCAGCTGGCCATTGAGCTGCACAGAAACCTGCAATTGAAGGCCAGATCCGAAAGAGGCAGGATCAGGCCTCAGGAGTCCCTAACACAGGAGCCAATGCAAGATGTTTGCCCTCCAGGGCAGTGAGCGGTGGTGACAGGCCGCAGAGCTTCCTGGTGCCGAGTGTGAACTCCAGAACCAGACCCAGGCTCCAATCCCAGCTCTTCCACTGCCTACCACGTGCCTTTGGGGAGGTTAGTAACTCCCTCACTTGTCACAATAGTACCTGCTCAGGGGGTGGGCAGAAGGATCAAGCGAGTCATTACGTGTCAAGGGTTTAGAACAATGCTTGATACGTGGCAGGTAAGTGCTCAACACGTTAGCTATTGAGTTGTCTATGGTCTCAGGGAAACTGGCGGTACTGACTATGGCTGGAGGGCTAGCAAAGCACAAGGAGAAATAGACAAATTGGGTGTGGCATAAATATATAAAAATATGAAGACAACATTTATGTCTAATTTCCACTTAGTTTAATAATCACCATTTTTATAACCACACTGACAGCTCCTAAAGGTCCTAGACTGGGGCTTCAACCTTACGTCTGCCATAGCACCTGGCCCACGGGGGTGGTTTCTGCTCAAAGTCTGGCTACTTCCTCCAGACGTGACCTGTAGCAAAATGCCCAACTTCCCCAAGCCTCAGATTCCTTACCTGCCCAAGTTCCTGCCTTTCTTATAAAATTGGTTAATTTTGTTTACCCAGAAAGCCTCTGGAATCATGCTCCCCATCCCCGAGGAGTTGACAACCTGTTGTGAGATTCTGCATGGTGGGAATCTTGTAAACTACACCCTACCCACACACACACACAATCAGCGTTATTGTTGAACATCTTTCGGAACCGCACTGGCACATTTTCCAGCCTCAGTAAGCCTGGCATGGGCACACACTCACATCTTGCTTTGCTGATGGAGACGGGCCGGGGTTCGGGTCGCGCACGTGCACGTCCCAGATGATTTTCAGCGCCGTGTACTCAGCAGTACTGAGAGCGGGACCACACCATGCTGATCCCTCCGCAGAGCCTGGGATTTCTGGATTTGGGGCTGCTAAGCCCCTGATGGGAATGCTGTCGAGTCATTTTTCCCTATCATTTGAAAATTTGGAACAGAAAAATTTCTGGCTAATGACTGTCTTGCAACAAAGACAGGATCACTGTAACTATCCACAAGTTCAAAGAAGGAATGCCAAGAATTCGGAGGAAGGAGCTGCAGGCTTGGAAGGACTTTCTCCCTTTGGCTCTGGGCTCCTGAGTCACATTCCTCTGGCAGGCCTGAGAGACCGGTAACCTCTCGGGATCTCTTATTCCCACCATGAGGACCCTGGCAGATGGGCCAAAGAGGCCTAAATACAGTTTCAAAAGCAAATAATAAAGAAAGGTGATTTTTACTACAAATGATAAAATTATAACTCAATAAACCTGACTTAAAAATAGAAGCAAACAATTTATACAAAGGCATGGAGAACTTATTCAAATCAGAAAATCTCAATTTCTATTTGAGATGCTCCATTTAGTCAGCATAAGGGGAGTCAAGGGCTGCAGGACAGCTGGATGGCCTGACATTTACATCACTGGGGGCAGTGCCCAGAGCTCCCTGCAGGAAACAGCAGCCACCTGTGGCAGCCCAAAGGGTTTAATGAAGAGCAGCCCTGGACGGTGGAGAGCATCACAGGAACCCACCAGGGCTGCCAAGGGACCAAGAGGAACAGCAGCAGGAAGCCATGACCACCTTTAGAACTGGAGGCACAAGGAGGAGATATGGTCACCGAAGGCCCCATGGGAGCTAGAGCCACAGCCAGAAATGCTGCACAAAGCAGGGAGTGACGGAGAGAAATGCCCGTCCTCCACCTGTTCCCAACAACCAGAGCGGTCACGGGTCACAGAGGGAACCCAGGGCCTGCAGGGATCAGCCTCTAGAGGGCAGGGCGGAAAATGGATCTGAGGACAGAGAATGAGCAGCATGGGCCCCCTTCCAAGGAGAAGTTAACTTCTGTTTCCTGTAAAATGGAGACTGTGGTACCCACTGTCAGCCTGCTGTCAATCAAGAGAGATTATGTAAAAACTGTGACTGCAGGAGAACCCATTTTAATTTAGGAACAAGGAATAAACAGGGAGTGCCTGTTTATTCCCAACTATTAACACACTTCCCCTTTTGCCATTTTCTGGAATCAGGCAGTCTGAATTTCTCAGAACATCACGACCATCAGGTGCATTGATTCTGTGTTCACCACTGACCCCCTCTCACCCTTCTATTTCAGAAACTGCTCCCTGCCTGGAATGCCGCCAAGTTCCACTTCCTCAAGTAGCTTCCACCCATTCACCTTGGCTGTTTTCTGGTGGACACGGAGCCACACTCTGGAGAAAACAAGGGAGTCCAAATAATGGGCCAGTCGAGATTCCCGTCGGGTGACGCCCTTTATTGAAAGACAATCTTGCTTTATCCAGTTCACTTACATGGAGGTAGCTGCATAAGAATGTCTCTTCCCCATGACAAATCAAAGCAACCAAACCAGCCCCAAGAGCAGAAACCCAACAGAACAAGCCCATAGGCATTGTCAAATAACATTCAGAAGCAGGAAAAAAAAATTATACAGATATAGGATGATTGTCTCCTCAGTATTGCATTTGGCCACATATTTATTAAATAAATTTTTTTTTTCCTTTTAAGCTAGCTAAAGAAAACATTCTTGAGTAAGGTTAGTTCTTAAAGCAACAAACAGAAAAAAAATTGTGTATATAATAAATCAAAGAATGATAGCATGTCAAAGCTGGAAAGGACCTCAGGCCCTGGTCTTTGTTTGTTCTGGCCGATCTGTGGCTCGGAGAGCACATGCCCTGTCAAGGTCACCCCTGTCAAGGTCACCGGGGTAAGATGAGCCAGGACTTGAAAACACCTCACTCAACTCCCAGTCCCGTGTTCTTCCCACCCAGCTACACTGCACGCATCCAGCTGGCTGCCAGCTCCATTACCACAGAGGAGGGCGCGTTTGTTAACATTTAAAACGGCCCATTTTTTGGGTAAGGATGAAGTCTTTTGAATGGTGATCTCTGTTCTCTTTTCATGGGCAGTTTTGCTTCCTGCAGCCAGCCTCATGGCTACCAGAAGGAACTGGCCAGAATGAGAGGCAGCAACTTTCTCACAAACCAAGACAGACACGTGCTCCCAAGGTTCTTGGGCCTCCAACCTTCTTCATCTCCAAGCCGTAGTCATGAGCGGCTGAGGCACTTCTAGGCAGGATTCCTGGCAAATATCTAATGATGGTGGAAGCAGCAGGGAAATCAGGAACATATTGAGGGTCAATGACCTTGGGAATTCCAGTGAGCCAGTCAACCAACCACAGGCTTGTCACATCCCCAGAGGACAGAAGGGCTCCAGGGCCAGGTGCAGAGGGGCTCAGCCCCTGTGTCTGTGTGACTGTGGTCTAGGGGGTCTATCACCACCTTTCCTTTGACTGCGCACCAGGACGGGGAGGATTTTGATCTGTTTTATTCATTGCTGTATTCCCAGTGCCAGGGACTGTGCCTGACACATCGTAGGTACCTGATAAATATGCGCTAAATGAATGAATGGCTCAAAACAGGAGTCTCTCCATGCCCCAGTAAGTAAGCAGAGGCAAGAACCACTCTACCCAGCAGAGGTGGAGGTGGGCTTGTCTCTCCTGTGCAGGGTGATGACACCAGCCCTTGAGCCAGGCTAATCACTCTGAATCCTATTTGGTGGGCTCTGTGACCTGGGGTAGTGGGGCACTGACACTCCCTGCTCCCCATGGCAATTGTCGTGGAGTTCTCTGTCCACAGGCCTCCTCTCTATTAGGAGGCTTGGGGACACTGCTGAAGCAGCTGAACACTGCCATCTCTGCCCCATGCATATACACAATTCACAGGGTGCTCTCCCTGGCCCTGACCTATGGGAGCCCAGCTGTGAATTGGCCTTTGGGCATGCCTGAGGACTGTCACAGTGGGAGGTGACACCAGGAAGGCCAGGTGTCACCAGTGATGTGGTCTTGCCCCAGACCTCACCCAATCCCGGTCACTCTTTGCCTGGTGCTGGCCCATGTTCCTCCGAGCCAGAGTTGGAAGGAGCCTTCCAGTTTGCACAGACTCACCTCTGTCTGACTTCTATTTCTTTCCTGCCTTTCCTGACATAAACCTGAGGTCCTGCTCAATTTGCCTCTTGTCTACACATCCCCCAGCTTTCAAGAACTTCTTTCTCTTCCTTCTCTTCCTTCCTACCCCCACCCACACACCTGCTTATCTCCTCTCCCCTCTCCTTTTCCCCACGACCTTACTGGACACCTACCCCCTCTTCCTCACACCTGAGTCCATGAACCCCACATCCTCCTATTCCCCACCCAGCAACCACCCCATCCAGGGACAGAGAGAGCATAGTTTGGAGGCCTGCTGTGGAAGGAGGGAGGAAAGGACCAACAAGACATGACAGTGAGGCCCCGTCCTTCCAGAAACCACATCATTTGTCAAAACCTTACTTACAAGTCTCCCTACCCACCTGTGTAAAAGAAATTGCAACTGGTGACTGGGAATTGGTCTCAGCCTGGTTCAGAAATTATAACAAAATTCTAGATAAAATAAGCAACCAAGGCCACAGATACAAATGACCTGACTTTCTCTCCCTCGTCAGCAGGTTGTTTACCACTTGACTTTCCATTCTCGGGATTAATTGTCCCTTATCATCACAACAATTTCTTTTTTCCAACTCTGATGTCCAAAGTGGTCTTTATTCTATCTTCTCTCTCGCCTCTGCTCCTTAATACTTAAAATCTAGTAGCTTCATATTTTAAAAAATAATACTCAATATAGATGTGTGAAGTTTACAAACAAGCCACCCTACAAAGCCTCTGTAACATTCCAAAATGGAACAGCAGCAGTCCGTGAGAAAGTCTGGTTTAAAATATGTACAGCCATATATCATTTCCTCCCCTGCACACTGGCTATTAAGTAATAACTAGCATTTTGGACGCTTTTTCTTGGCAGGGGCAGGGGGGCAAGGGCAGCAAGGCAAATGGTGCTGGCAGACAGCTGTGCAGAACAGGGGCTTCATCCTGCCAAATTATATTTTCTAAAACACCTCAATGGGTGGTGGTCATTTAAACTGCAGTAGCTACCTGGCTAAGCTATGAAAGCCGCGCTACCACTGAGGGATCCTAGGAGGACAGTGATGGGGAGGAATCGGCCTGTGATGTGAAGAGGAGGCGATGGTCTCTGCTCCAGGTAGGTGCTCCCTTTCCTGCCCCCTGCTGCTGGCGGCTGCGGGAATGACGGGCCACCTCCACAGCCCTGGAAGCGCACTCAGATCTGGCCGGTGGTGGCGCTGTCCTTGGGGAAGCTGTAGCTCAGCGGCGCCTCATACAGGCTTCCCCCATCGGTGCTGAGGTCGTCGTCGTCATCCACGTCATCCAGCACTTTACTTGGCAGCTTCTTAAGTCTGCTGAAACAACAGGGGCATGTTTCCTGGCCCTGGACTGGGGCTCATCTCTGATCTAGAGACTAAGGAAGGGTCTTGGGTTCCTGTCTCTCCCCACACTGAGTGGCACAGAAGCACATGAACTGAACTGGTCTGCACCTGATGGTTCCTAAAGCCACAGGGAGCAGACTGCCCACCTCTCAGCATGGGAGGCTGGTGAGGATAGGGTGCCTGGGCAGGCCTGGGGCAGGATCAGGAGTACCGATTTTTCCTTTTGCCTCAAGCTCCAATGTGGCTCACCAAGGTGCTATTTTTGATCCTGCCTTAATTTTAAATTTTGATATCTTGTTTAACATGGGTTGTTTGCATTAATTTTAAATATTATCTATCTTGATTACTGAGATTTTTGGTGCCCCTTAATGTTGCACCCTAATGCTGGCCCTGGGGACAGATTCTCAACAGACAGGCCCTGTTTATAGGATTCTCAACGGGCTGGAGTCTTCAGTCCATTTATAAGAGAACTACTTGTGCAGCCAGCACAGGCAGCCTCCAAGAAAGGCTCAGCTCCATGATAAGCATGAACCTGGGGGTGGGGGGGCAGTGAGCCTGGGGTAGGGAAAGTGACCCCTCACCCACTCCCCTTAGGACCACCGCAAAGGAGTTTTAGAAGCAGCTCTCTCCCGAAACTAGGCTCGGAATATCCCAGTCCTCATGAGGATATGAACCAGAACCTTATATTATTTCTTCCTAAGTCACGTAAAAACAGGAGTCCTAAGGGCTGGTCCAGGTAGTCCAGGAGGCAGGGCTCACTGCCTCCTCCATAGTGGTGTGAGCTAGTTCTACCCTGCTCTGAGCCTCAGTTTCCCCTTATGGACAACAAGGATAATACCTGCCTGGCTGACATCACGGCACTGGCATGAGGATGGCACGTGAGACCCTGTTGAGCATGTGGGGTGACTGAAGTGGACACAGCCACTCTCATCTCTAGGATGGGATGAGCCCAAAAGGTGACAATACGGAATTGGCTTGAGATAAGAGCAGTGAGAACGCTCTGCAAGCATCAAGCTCTCCTCAAATGTTAGGGGGATTACAGCCCCTCGGGGTCACCGCACTCGCCCACCTTAAATTCTTCTTCATGGAGTTGAGCTGTCCCTGCAGCTGCTCGTTCACGTCCATCTGCTCCTCCAGCTCCCTCTGCAGCTTCTTTTTAGAACTTTCTAGTCTGTCGATTTCCTCCTCGGCTTCCTCCACCTGTCGCTTCATTGCCTTCAAGCGCAAGCTCAGCTGCGGCGGGAGAGAGAGCAGGTTGAGTGCTGGCTGGTCGCCGCCGCTGGGACGGAGAAGAGCCCCCACGTGGACAGGCCAGTGGTCCCCAGCCACCTTCCCTCCAGGCAACCAAGACACGGCAAAGGGGCAACTGGTCTCACGGGAAAGTGGAGAGAAGACTCTAAGACAACAAGTCTACATTTTACAAGTCAAGGTCAGGGTTCCAAGTGTGCTGAAATCCCCCAATAAGTAGGCTAGAAGGGCCCCCTTCTATGACGTAACTGGGTGGACTGGGAAGACAGGAATCAGTTCACCACCGCTCCATCGCCCACCCGCGGATGCCTCGCCCCACCTGAGACACAACATCTCATCTGAGAAGGAACTTGCAGAGTGTCCCTCACCTGGTCCTTCTGATCGGTCAGCGACAGGTGCTCATCGTCCACCTGCATCACCAGCTCCTTCACCTTCCGCTCCAGCCTGCGGTTGCTGAGCTGGAGGCTGGCCCGGTCTCTGGAGGGGCAGGGGAAGCAGAACTGAGGATCCTCTCATCCCAGCCCCACAGGAGGCCCAGCCCGGCTGTGGAGGAGGGGAAGCTCCAGCCAGGGCTGCCTGGTCAACTCAAGGCTGAGGGTCAGAGGGACACGCAACTGAACAGGAGGAAAGTGCTGCCCATTGGACGGATGAGGAAACAGGGGCTCTGAGAAGGGGAGTGACTTGCGCGAGGTTGCAGAGCCAGCAAGAGCTGGGAGTGGACCTGCCCCGAGTTCTTCCAGTCCCAAGCTTTACTTTGTAAGGCACAGGTCACAGACTGCCAGACTCTGAACGTTTTGGGTCGACTCCAGGCTGCTCTAGCCCAGCCCCAAAAGTCCTACTCAAAACAGACAACATAAAGTGCTATCTGCACACACACACCCCTTCCAGGCAGGTGAGGGCCCATGAGCCAGGACTGAGGCTGGTCAAGTTCAACCTGGTGCTGGACTTGGGCTGCGATGTGAGAGCTAGCTGCAGAGAATCCTGGTGTCAGAAAGGAGCATGGTCATCTGATCCCATGTCCCTCCTACCCACTGTGGGGGGACCTGCCCATCTCTGACAGATGGCCATTCAGCCGCTGCTTGAATACACATGGCCCCCAGGGCAGCATCAGCCCCCTTACCTCTAATCTGGCTCAAACTCAGTAGCTTACGAGGCGCCTGAACTACTGAGGGAATGGGGAAAAGAGCAGCAAGTAGAGTGGAAAGCTATGGCCTTAGGAGGGGGTGTCCTGAGTTTTAGTCCAGCTACACCAATATTCAGCCAGGCTACCTTCCTCAAGTGCTTAGGTGGATGGGTCTCGGTTTTCTCATCTGTAAAATGGAAACAATAACCTCAAGGTTGTACTCGCTCTGCCTTCCTCACATGAAGGCTTCTGAGGATGGGAAGAGATACAAATGTGAGAGCAGTCTGTGAGGCGATCACCACTGCCACCAGGCCTCTGCACCACAGCTGGGCCGGCTCACCTCTCCTCGCCCTCCAGACGGTCCTCCAGCTCCGCGATCCTGGCCTCCATCTGCACCACCAGCCCCTCTTTGCTGGACCTGTAGGACCCTTCCAGGTGGATAATCCGGCTCTTTAAGTCCTTGTTCTGGAATCAGACAGGCAGACTGTGAGCAGACGTGTGTCTGCCACACTGTGCGGGGCAGCCCAGCGTTTAGTCAGTAACTGCGATAAACTGGCTTTCACACCAGGATACGTGGCCCTGGGGGACCTGGGGAGGCCACAGATGGTTCCAGGAAAAGGCCTTGCACTCCAGTCCTGGCAGGCCAAAAGAAGAGATTCTATCACATTCCCTTACAAGCCTGAGTGAGATCTTTGGCGTGGCCTGGGACTCCTGGATGTCAGAGACCAACAGGCTTTGCCTTGGCCTTTTATAAACCTACTGGCAGGGGCAATAGGCTCCTTCTCCAATATCACATATCCTATTCAGTGAAGAATTTACACGAACAGCATGTAAAAGAAATAATGATTCAAATAAGCTTTGTTAGCAACTCATGTGTTTGATGACACTGGTTCTTTACTATCCCCTTTACATTAGTATTCAGACCTCTTTAGGATCTGGAAAACAACACAATTCCATGTCCCCCAGCTGATAAACTTTCAAGTATATTTAATATTATTGGGAAAAACCTCTCTGAAAAAGGCCTTAGAAATACCTCTCCCAGGTGACTTCCGCCCCAGAGTTCTTGGGTACTAAGCAAAGGAGATACCACTGAGGGAGTCTAGTCCTATGCTGGGGTGGTAGAGGAGGGAAGCGGGGGAGGGAGGGAGCAGGGGGCCCGCTGGCCTCACCTGTCTCTCCAGGGAAATCTTGTCACACTCCAAGTCTTGCCTCACGGCTCTCTCCTGAAGCAGCTCGTTCCTCATCTGTTCCATCTACACCAAACAGAGCAGAAGCCCAGAGGTTAGAGGGGCTGTTCCTATATCCTTCGTGCTGACATGGTTCCAGGTGCTGATTCCAACAACCAGACAGCTCCTGTTGTGACAGGGGCCTCCCGCCATCTCTTCTGGGGTGCAGGAGCTATTTCTTAGACATTATTAGTTTCTTGATGATTGCAAAGATAATGATACAAATAACAATAATAGTCATAGCTAACCCTGCTGTTACGAGTTGAATTGTGTCCCCCCAAAAAGACACATTGAAGTCTTACCCCTCAGTACCTCAGATGTGACCCTTATTTGGAAACAGGACTGAGGATGTGCTCAGGACACGGGACTTTCAATGCTAAGACTGGGAAAGTCCCAGGCAAACCAGGACGAGTCAGTCATCCAACCTACCAGAGATCTACACAACCAGTAATAGGGGAGCCAGTATTCCCAAGCTCCTGACTGCTGCATTACAAGTTCAGACTTCAGAAAGGGCTTCCACAGTCAGCATATCTCAGACGCTGCTAGAGTCCTCCTTTCTTATGCCAGAACCAGAAGTCAGCAAGAACACTGGGCAGCTCCAGGCCTCCCGGCAAAGGCTAAACGTTCCTGACGGTTTCTTCTATGTTAATAGGAAACGAGCCTAGCTGAGCAGCTTCTGGAAAGAAATTTCACTGCTTGCCCTTCAGCATCTCTGTTCCCCAGTCCCAGTGAGCTTCAGCAGCAGTGAAATGAGCATCAGAGGCGGAAGCCCCAGACTCTAATCCCAGGGCCGTCCAGCAGAGGGCGGCCTGAAGAAGCCAGAGAACTAAGAAGGTGAGCCTGTAAAATAAAACACCCTTTCCTTCTTAAGGTCGGGGTCCGACTTGGGTAAGAGGGGTACACATAGGATGCTCCCCTGGATGCCTGGGGGGCATACGTAACGGGGCCACCCAGCCTGGCCTCAACTTGGATTTTTGCCACATGCACAAACCCCCTAGCAAGTAAAAGATAAGCTCACCCCTTCAGTCCATCCACCTAGAGAGCAAGAACTGGGGGTCCTGGGAATAATAAGAGGAGACACGGCAACATTGGGCCAGGCTTGCATCTGCTCCCATCTCCCACTGTCCCCACCATGGTGTGTGCACAGAATGACAAGCAGTGTGGTGTGGCTGGCCCAGGGTGGGCAACAAGTGGTAAGGAATGAGGCTGGCAATGGGCAGAGCCTGGACACCGAGGCCTCCAATACCACAGGAGGAAGCTGGGACTCTGCCCATAGGTGAGCCGGTAGCTGGGTGGTCAAAAAAAACGCCCACGTTTGCATTTCTGACTGGCAGGCTTCTACGTCATAGGGGTTCAGAATTTTACAGCAGAGAAAAGTAAGGCCCGGGACAGTTATACAAGTAACTGGAGGGAGCAGGACTAGAACCCAGGCCAAGCCCACTCACTACCCGCTAAGAGGCTGCTCTCTCTGGACCAATTCAGTGAAAGGCTTCAGACCTAGGGCTCAAACACAGAGGTCACGTCAAAACCAAGCCCCAGGGAGGCAGTGAGTTTTCTTAGGGCATCCTTGTGTGCAGCAGGGAAAAAATGCCAGCCACGCAAAGGGTCAGCAGGCCGAGCACACACAGCTCCACCCGCAGCCCTGCTCCCACTCTGCCTGGCCCCAAAGCCCTCGAGAATCACATGCTGCAGAGAGGGCATCAGAATGACTCCTGTAACTGTTAAATGAGCACAAAGTCCACAGGTAATGAATGCGGGCTCACAGCCCCACTCCGAGCGTGGCCTGAACCAGCCAACACCACTACGCATGGAGCACGTCAGCACAGCTGGACCACGGGACCGAGACAGGCCTCCCGGGGAAAACTGTTCTGTTCACACCCCCCGGGGCAGGGGCCGGGACCCCACCCAGGATGGGGTTAAACTTTCACTGTGATGGGAAGCAATTACACAACCAGCAGTGGCCCCGTGTCCCTTCCTGGCTCTGAGGGCACTTGTGTGTGACCTTGATCATTTCACCTCTGGGATGCAGACTCCTCATTTCTAAAACAAGGAACTTGAACAAGACAGCCTCTAAGGGCCCTTTGAGCTGGCCTACGATACAGTGAAAGCACATTTTGGTGGCTCCTCCACCCTTCGGAGTGCTGTGTGGCTCTCCTTCTGAGGAAGCCCGAGAGGCCCCTGCCTCCATCCTCAGGCTAGAGTAGGCACCCCATCTCTCCAGACATTTAGGAGGGTCCGTGGAAAAGACCCACTCTGTCAAAGTGAGAGTGTGTGTTTGTGAACACACATGCTTGCGTGCTGGGGGAAGGGTGGTCTTGGAATGATGGGGTGGGTTTGTTCATTCATTCAAACTATATTACGGGCCCTAGGCTGGATACTGTGACAAAAAGACCAGCATTGTAGCCTCAAGGGGGACAAACAAATAAGTCTTGTATATGCGGTCACTGTTACTACGATGGGGAAGGACAGTGGGCCAGGGCAGGGCGCATGGCACAACAAAGACTTGGAGGGCCAGAGAAAGGGACACCAGGCTGAGACATAACTGAGAGGTGAGGGTCAGGCAGAGAGGAAGGGGCAGGAGAGGAAATGCAGCTTTCCAAGCTGGGGGACCACCAATAAGAAGAGCAGGAGGTAAGAAAGAGGAAGGGAATGCTGGAGAAGTGAAAGGACTGAGCGGGCCATGTGGGGAGGCGAGGGGACAGGTTAGGAGATCAGGCAGAGAGGCAGACAGGGAGCTGGGTGATGCCAGCTCAAGCCACAGGACAGATGAGCTCACCAAGAAGAAATGTATGAAGAATGAGGAGGATCCAGAACCATCTGGAGCCATGCCCTGGGGAGCCCTCCCCCCTGGACCTCCCGTTAGGGGAGGCAGGGAGAAAACCAGGACACTGACCTGTCCCAAAAGCCAAGAAGGGTGAGGACTGAGGGAAAAGCACCTGGGCTCGACAAAGAAGTTCTCTCTGGAAGGCTTGGCAGAAAGGGCAACCAGACTGCCAAGACTGGGAAGGCGTGAAGGGAAGGGCGTGAAGAGGTGGGGCGATGCCTCTCCTCTAGAACTCCAGCCCTGAGGAGATGACACTATAACTGGACGGCTAGGGAGGTCACGAAGGGGTTTGTAAGATGGATGCCCCGCACCCATTAGCAGGCCAGGGTGAGAATCAGGGAGGAGGGAAAAGTTACAGATGATGGACTGTGACAAGAAGGCAGTGTGACAGGAAGACTGACTGTCCAGTGAGGGAGGGATAGATCAAGGCCCTGCACTGGGGCCAGCATGAGAGTGGGAGAGAAGCTCTTTCTCTGGGCCAAGGAGAGAGGGCATCCCTCAGGACTCGGGGGTGGCGGGGGCGGGATGCAGGCTCCTGTAGCTCAGAGGCGTGGAAGGGAGGGAGGCAGGGAGGGGAGAGAGATTATCTTCCCCAAAGTGAAGGGATAAGAAAGAACTGGAGGCTTATAGAGAAAGAAGGCACTCTAGTTGCTGTGGGGTGTGAGGCCGAAAAACACCAAAAGGCAATAAAAGGCTGGCAGAGCAGAGCAAGGGTCTCGCTGTAGCTGTAGAGCATCTGCTTTTAGGAGGTCAAGCAGTGACTTCTGCCGCTGGGCTCCGGGCCTGAGGACTGGAGAGCGAAAGATCAAGAATCAAGAGCCCTGGCGATGGCACGTTAATCCTCCCAGCCCTCTCTAAGGCAGATGTTAACACTCCCATTTTCCAGGTGGGAGGTTCAGGAACCTTGGGAGCAGCTTTGGGATTCTAACCCAGGCTTTCTGACTGAAAATCATACCCTCCTTTTCTCCCTCTCAGCAAACCCGTAGGACCCAGGTCTCTCAACAAGGAGGGAGAGTTCTGGTGGGGGCTTCGGAGCCCAAAAGGAAGAAGCGTCTACCACGGAATGAGGCAGAGAAGTGCTGGGGAGGGATTCCAGGATCGCCAAGGGGTCAGTCACACAGCACTGGGCCCAGGCTGGGAGGTCAGGATAAACCCTGCGACTTAAAGAAGCAGCCACTGGCCAAAGTCTTGCTCCCTCAGTGCCACTGACTGGAAAATCTGGATCCAGCCAGGAAATAGGCCTCCCGGTGCAGAGGAACACTCAGAGAGGCAGCATCCAGGGAGGTCTCGCAGGTTCAAGACCTCCCTGGAAAGCCCAGGCAAATGGTGACTGTCCAAAAGGAAAACAACACAGTCGTTATTTATACCCCACCACATCCCCTCACAAGATGGCTATCAAAATGGAAGTGTAAAATAAATCAGAGTGAAAAACAGGAAGGATTAAATGTGTAACCATAAAACTTCACAGTTATGGTGACCGGGCAGTCAATTTTTCTTGAGTCTTTTAGAAACCAAGGTTTTTGGCAAGCATGACAGGCTTCTTTGGATCTTCAAAAAGGACAACCTAACACTGAATTCTAAAACAAATCCATCCCAGGGAGCCGTATACAAGGAACACCACATGGAGTTATGGACACTGTCTCAAGGACGGGTATCACTGTAAACCAGAAGTGCTTTAGCTGTTCTCCTCAACACAGTGATCCCCAGGACCAGCCCAGTAACTTGGGAATATTCCACATCAGATCCCTCTTACCCTGGCCCACAGTGGCAAAAAAAAAAAAAAAAAAGGCCTCTGTGTTCGCCACCTTCCTCCTCTGGACCAGGGAAGTAAATCTGAGGCTGGAAAAACACTTCCTTATATAAGCTTAGTGCTTTATGTGATGTTTACCCTTCAACTATATTCAATAGACCGAACAAAAACCTTCCAGTTGAATTGAAAACAGAACAGGAGCTGAAGGCAACAGTTTACCACAGCTGGATTGAAAGAAAGCTAAACCCTGAGCATTTCTGATCAGAAATAACAGTATCAGATTCCAGTGGTTCTATGTCAGAGGCACCCGTGACCTGAGCCAGCTCTCAGGATTAGAAGCAGCTGCCTCCTGGGTTAATGAAAAGCCAGAGATATTTATGATTGCTAATACCCATATTTAACCCTATCACCTATGTTTACCATTGGGCTGTAAAGGGTTGGTGAGCCTACACT